TCTTTAACATTGGCGGCATGAATAAATATCATGAACTGTTTTGACATAAACTTCCCTCATTGTTGGTAAGAGGGAAAAATGACAGATAAGTAGCTTGAACTTTGATGGTGTTCACTTTGGAAAACCTTTAAAAGCCTTAAAGCATTAGTTGTGTCAGTCAGATTGTCTCCCTCTGCTGGACAGAGTCCCTGAAACCAGTAAAACGACTTTAACTGGACTGATTGTTCTGATTATCTGCAGCTAATCAGCAGATCGCTGTGAAATGGAGTCTGCAAGTTTGTAGACCAGAATAATAAGGTGCTCCGGCCTCCTCGCACAAAACCTGCATAAGTTAACTGGTGATTCTAAATTGACTGTGATTGTGAAAGCACCTTTGTCTCTTTGTGTTGGACCATGAAGGACTGGTGACCTCTCCAGGGCGAACACTGGCTCTCAACTAAAGCTGATGTAGACTCCAGCCCCCTGCAAACCTCTACACCCTGTAAAAAATATTTTTTTTTAATTTAAAAAATCTGGAAGCAAGGGTGCCAATAAAATGTGTCAAAAATCCACATTCCCATTTGCACCCAATTATTCTTATCTTCTTTTTTGTTTGTTTGTGAAGACAGCTTCTTTAACCTTTGAAAAGAGGTTAAAGAGGCTGCTCCATATCTATGTAATCTATATTTATTGATGTAATTCAAATCTTTGCTGGATACATACATGGGGTTAAATAAGGGTAAAAAAAAAAAGAAAAAAAAGAAAAAGAAAAGTCTGCTAACCAGCTGAACACCTGAGCTTCATTCTTTTGGTGGAGAAAAGTCAGGAATTAAAGACATAGACTGAAATTAAAAAAAAATGGAAATAATTACTTGTATATAAATCAATAGACAAATGATTTTTCACTTCTGCGCGTCCCGCGGTGAGGATGTTTGACCGCGCACGGCCGCCGTAGTAATGTGACCACAGCTTCCATATGAGATAAAACTCACAACAAATCCAGTCGACGTTGCTTGCAGAAGGTAAATCTTGCTTTGCGCTCCAGTTTGTATTCCGCTGCGTGTATGCTTAAATGCATTTTGTCGTTTTGCTATTTAACGTTACTGACTGTATGGAGAGGACAGTCAGATCCGTTGTTTTATCCTGAAAAATGTCATCTGTCATATGCAACAAACGAGAGAAAATATCAGTGTCGTTATTGAGATTTATTTACTGGATGTGGTTCAATGAGAGAAAGCCAGCCAGGGTAAAATTTAAAATAGTTTAAAACATATTGGTGCTTATTTTTCAAAGTTCAAAGTTCTGCACATTGCATAACCTGAGTTAATGCAACACTACACAAGTGCAAAAAAGGAGAAAAAAAAACAACACGTGAGCTGATTTGTGCATCTATGAAAGGAATTTATGTTTTCTATCATGAGAATACTGTGGGTGGATTGGTGTGAGTTGAACCAGCCATGCACAAGAATTTAATTGCATGAGAACTGTGTGTGTGTGTGTGTGTGTCTGTGTGTGTGTGTGTGTGTGTGTGTCTGTGTGTGTGTGTGTGTGTGTATGTGTGTGTTCAGCATGGAGGGTGAGCCCATCTCGGCCCTGTGCACGCCTGCTCTGGTGGTGGACGTGGACAAAGCGAAGCGAAATGCCCAGAGGATGATCGACCGCTACCAGAAACTTGGAGTCCAGCTTCGCCCGCACATGAAGACCCACAAAACCCTGTACGGACCCACACTGTCACACACACACACACACAGTACACACATACAGGTCATGTGTGTAAGATCGCTGATAAGGTCTGTGTGTCTGCGTGTCCAGTGAGTGTGCTGACATCATGACGGGCGGATCACGGAGGAGCATTGTGGTTTCTACACTTGCAGAGGCCTGTTTCTATGCCGACCATGGATTTGATGACATCCTCTATGCATATTCTCTTCCCTTTGATAAGGTTCTTTGAGCTCAAACTAGTGTATTAGTGCAAACCTTTATATTATAAGCATGTAGGGGGGGGGGACTTGGAAAAAAATTAACTTGTTAAATCAACTAATTACTGTCCAATCTGTTGTATGTAGGTGCATCAGAGAGTCACGCTGACTGAAATATTAAAAATACATATATATGTCTGTGTGTGTCTGATTAGGTGGAGCGTTGTGCAGCCCTGTCAGAGAGACTGGACCTCTTCCAGGTTCTACTGGATCATCCTGATGCTCTGGAGCAGCTCAGAAAAAGGCCATTGAGAGACGGTCGGCAGTGGCACGTCTGGATGAAACTGGACTGTGGCAACGGGAGAGGCAAGCACGCAGGGAAACAGCAGCCCAGCTGACCGTAAGCTTCCGAGCACCCACTGATTATGTGTTGTGTCTTCGCTGCAGCTGGCGTCCTGCACTCGGAGCCTGAGGCGCTCAGACTGGCTCAAGCCATCGCTAAGACGGAGGGCGTGGAGCTGACAGGTGTGTACGCCCACTGTGGAAACACCTACAACTGCAGAGGAGTGGAGCAAATACAGGCTGTCGCCCAGGAAACCACCGACTTCACACTGCAGTTCATGGAGAAGTAAGACAAAAGTTAAAAAAAATATATATATATATACAGGGTGTGTCAGAAAAGTTCCAGGACTGGTGTCACAAAGATATATTTCAAACCCAAACGACAAACTAAGAGTCTTCCCCTTCAGATAATCAACCAGCATGTCTACAAAGAGATTCTGCGGTGTTTGCTTCATTCAGAAAAGAGGCGAGAGTTGTGGCAGGATAAGTGGTGGCTGCTTCACCATGACAACGCGCCTGCTCACAACGCCCTGAGCATCCGACAGTTCCTGGCTGAGAAGAACATCTCCGTGCTGGAGCAACCTCCCTACTCAGCCCACCTGGCTCTGTTGGATTGTTTCCTCTTCCCGAATCTCAAGAGGGTCATCAAGGGGACCCGCTTTGAAGACGTGGACGACATTAAGATGGCTGTGACGACGGAGCTGAGGAGGATCCTGGAAGAATCCTTCCAGGAGTGCATAGCAGCGTGACAGAGAAGGCTGGGAAAGTGTGTTAGACTCCAGGGAGATTATCTGGAAGGGGAAAGCTTTAGTCTGGATTTTAAATATATCGTTTGTGACACCAGTCCTGAAACTTTTCTGACACACATGTTGCTCTCCGTCTGCAGCTGTTAGCTTACATGTTCACCTTATCAGTTCTTTGACATAATAATGTGTTTATAGTCACTGCCTCCAAGTAAATGCAGCTTTCAGTTGTACTGATTCATTAATGGCTATCACATCACAAGGCCTCAGTGCTCTTACAAATAAATAGGTTTGTTATAGTCAGAGTATGTTTTTGTTAATCAGTAACCTTCTCTGGGTTTTTGTGGCAGACTGAAGGCTGTTGGTATCAGCTGTAAGTCCAGCATCGGCTCCACTCCGTCCTGCAGTCATCCGGTCAAGGACATGGCACAGCTGAGCGAGGTGCATCCTGGGAACTACGTCTTCTATGGTGTGTTAATATACAGAGGTGTATCTGCTGGTGCTGCAGCTAAGACCACCTAAACCGAGACCTAGACCTGGTCCTATGCTGCATAGCACAACATATGCTTCCATTAGCTGCAGCCACTTTATCCTGGAAAGACTGCATGACACATTCACTATAAAATATATAACATGCTGACTGTTAAACTATTGAAATTATTATCCTGAAACATACAGTATTAAACTCAGGGTGCTCATATGTATAGCTTATATTTGCTAAAACTGTTTGGGTGAGGGGTAAAGAAATGTCTTTAGGGTTTTATATAGAAGCAGATTCCAGTCATTTACAATCACCTTAATGATGTCGGCAAATAAATCAGACATTGCACAGGCATTAATAATAACCCTTTATTTCTGGTCTTGACTACGCTTGATAAAATACCCAGAATCCTCTTTGGGACCAATACCAGATCAACTAGCAAGTAAGGCCAATTCAGAGACGAGATCTTGAGTATCTTCTTGATCTTGAGTACATCAACATTAATATCTGTGTGTTTCTGCTGCTTTCCCATTTAAATGACTATACTATATAACAGAATGAAGGCAACAGTAATGATTTGTTAAACATATTTTTGGTGGGTTTTAGATGTGCAGCAGTCTACGATCGGCTCGTGCTCTCTGGAGGACGTGGCTGTGAGGGTTTTGACCAGAGTCATCGGACATTGTCCACACAGGAACCAGCTGCTGACTGACTGTGGATGGACTGGAATCAGGTACCTTCATCAGCACTGTTCATGTCACTCAGCAGTGTTGATTCCAGCATTTTTTTTTTTTTAAACTAACCACTATGTTACTGCTCTGTATTGCTACAACCACGTGACTCCTCCTTGGCCTTGACCTGACCTTCCTCCTGCTGTTGTTCATCCCTCTCAGTTTGGACGGAGCTGGAAAACTTCCCACTGGATACGCTGTGATCGAAGGGCATCCAAACCTCAAGTACAGCTCTCTGCTCTTTTCTCTAATCTCAGTGCTGAAGTGTGACTGAAGTCCTGATGAGAGATGTTTCCCTCCAGGTTGGCGTCTATGACCCAGGAGCACGGACGAGTGGAGCCCATCTCAGGACAGCTGGACTACAGCAGATACCCGCTGGGCTCTCTGCTCACACTGATCCCCTACCACGTTAGTACTGCTCAGTGTGGCGTCTGCTTTATCTCTGTCCTCTTGTCTTATTACCTCTGGCTTGACTTTTGCAGGCGTGTGCAGCAGCTGCGATGCATCCTGTGTATCACGTGCACTCTGGGGGTCTTCTGGTGGGGAAGTGGACGCCCACTCGCGGGTGGTGATCGACCGTTCAACAGCTGGTCACTTGTTTATGGTTGAACTTGACAGCAGAGGAGGAAGCAAGCGATGACATCTGTAGTTAAAGCTGTATAAAACTATGGTTGAAGAGTATTCACTGTATCTGTCCTCTTCTTTGTCCCCTAAGTTTGTGCACTTACTCTATTTCAGTACCACTTTTTTAACTAATCCTGGATACAGATTAGACAGACTTGTTCCCTGATCGTTTTATATGAAGGAAGAAATGAAGTGTAAAAAAAGAAAGAAAGCATTTAAATTTTCAAATAAATGACGACTTTAGCACTTTGTTGTGTCCTCTTGCAGAGTTCTCATTATGTGAATTTAAACAGGAGGTGGTGGACTGTGGACGTGATATCAGCCACAAATATAAGTTGGTTAGTGTTGATCATTTACCTAACACACGTTTAGGCATTAAGGTTAATACCCCATGATATTCTATATTATACAGATTTACCTGACAAATTAAAATGGTGTTATAGTTTATCCATACTTGCTTGACTAATTTCAATGTCAAAGTTAAAACCCCACGATATTATATGTTCAGCAAATTTAATTTAAATATCTCGGTTAAGTTCTATAGTATTATTTATTGTACAGATTTTCAAGACTAATATAAATATTAAGGTTAAGACTCCACTTGTTTAATTATTTATTAAACAAGTGTACCACTAACTTTAAATGTTAACATAAAACCCTACAATATTTGCTATTGTGCATATTTTCTTTTCCTGGCCAAAATAAATGATACAGTTAAGATCCTACTACATTTTATATCACACAAATTTACCTTATTAAAAATACATTACTGTTAGGACCCCACAAAATTATATATTATACAATCTATGACTAATTTGAATGTTAAAGTTTAGATCCTACAATATTATTTATTATACAAATTTACCCGACTAATTTAAATATTGTAGATAAGACCCCACAATATTATTTGTTATGTAAGTTTAACTGACTACTTAATTTTTTTTAATTAAAAATGTGCTTTCGACCCTACAAGCAATAGAAAAATAAGCAATAAAAAAAATCAAAAGTTAAGAAACTGCAACATTATTTATTTTAGTTTTCTTCTGTGTTCTGATCATGACATTATATTATCATTTATTAAAATATAATACAGGGAAATGCCACCTTTTTTTTTTATTGTTTTTATCGAACTACATCAATATTTCAGTTGATAAAAATCTGTGTTGTATGAGTTGTGGCGTGAGGTGCATCTTGGGAAATGTGGTTTTACTGAAAGCAGCGTTCTGATTGGTCGCCGTGTGACCTTTCACTTGTCACGTGGTTTAAAAACTTCAGCAGGATGGCGCGGAAAGTCATTACTGGAGCACACGGCTGAGGTTTCAGTTTATGAGGATTTTATTTATACTTTTTACAGGCGGCACTGACATTATCAAGTAAGTAACCTCCGTTTAGACGCAGCGTGTTTGTTTTCCACTTTTCTTTTCGACTTTCAGAGTGTTTCTTCCGACTGTCCGCAGCGCCTTTCTTTACCTTTTCTGCATTTTCTTTTCACTGAATACAAACCTTTGATGTTAGCATCACAAACACCTCAGTTTGTTGTAGTTAGCTGTTAGCTGTTAGCTAGCCGCTGTCACACTGCATGCTGTGTTTTCATCTTCAGTCATGAGTGTGCTGGAGGTGAAGTTCGTCGGGGATGGAGATGTTCTGGAGCACATCGTGGACAAACAGGAAGGTATGGACACTTAAACACATGTTCGCCGTTTACAGCATGCTCATGTCTGACATTTAGGATTATATTAAAGCTGCAACGATTAATTAATCAGTTGACAGCTCTTAAGTTAATTGCAAACCATTCTGAAAATAAGTTAACTGGTTTGAGTCATTATAAATTGTCTAAATTCTCTGACTCCGGCTTCTTAAATCTGAATATTTTCTGGTTTCTTTATCCCTGTATGATAGCAAACAGATTATCTTTGGGGGTTGGACAAAGCTTTATTTTTAAGAACTTCATTTTGGGCATTGAGAAACACTGATCAATATTTTTTCACCATTATGTGATATTTTAATAACCCAAAAACTACTACTTTAACCCCAAAAAATAATCAGTTAGAGCCCTCGATTAAAGGCAGCGTTAGAGTACTGTTGTTGTATGTGTTTGGTCTGTCTAGTATCCTTGTTTAGACTCTAATTAATATGATTTATGGATATGATTAATATTTAAAATAAAGAAACAATATTCTTTGCGATTGTCGTATGAGTTTTTAAGTCATTTACAATGCAGCCAAAATATAATACAGTAGCTGCAGTTGCTTTTTGGCAAGTACAAAACTGCAGTACATGAGTTGAACTGGTCCTTTACAGTGATTCAAACAGGTGGGAAGGATTGTTTATTTTACAGAGCAGGTGAAACAATGCAGAGACATGAGGATGTTGTTTTTATTGTTGTTGTTTGTGTTCCAACATGTGAAGGTGTGCAGAGCGGCGGCAGCAGCAGCTCTGTTCAGAAGATGGTGAAGTTTAAGAGTCCAGCTGGTCGACGGGGAGGCAGAGAGGATGCAGAGCAGGATGGGGCTGAAAATGGATTCCTCGATGAGCAGAATTACATCCAAGCTTTAGGAACAGACAACGCAGAAGGTGAGCGATGGAGACGTTGAACATCTTTAGAGTCTTCTTGGCAGGTCCAGTGTTTTTTTCCAGCCCTCTCACTGATTTTTTTCACCAATTAGGACTTTAGCCTGCTGCTGACTAATGCAGAACAATATCCAGCTGCCTTTTATAGTACACTTAAGTAAGCTACAGTTATTTAAAACTGTAGCAATCCAGTACAGCAGCTCTGTAAAACTATTGATGAAGGTGGAAGTGTTTTATTGATGCTGTTATAGAGCAACTTTATGATTATTGTGGAGGCTGTAGTTGCTTGTTTCTTCTCTG